TGGGCAGGCCCAAGGGCAAGCCAAAAGCCCCATATCCACTCCTGTTCTTCTGTGCCACAGCTTAAGTATCCTCCCCCACCCCGCTGGCCCGTGTGGCAAAAAAACTGATGTATCCTGAGTGGTGCTGAGTCAGGGGCCAATGCCTCCTGTGCCTCCCCTACCAGTCACCTGTGTTAAAAACCATGTAGGTTTTCCCTCTTTGTCCTCAGATTCAAACTGAGGCAGCATCAGGCTTATCTGTCACATCTTCACCTTGACTGTTTGTTTCAGTTCCTGGTCAATATTAGTCAATCTTTCTTTTCTGCAGCCCATGGGGAGCATTGTGGAAGTGAACTTCATGCATGAACCAGTGCACAACCTTTAAAAAAGGAAATATGATCATACACAAAGCAAGTGCTGCAAAGAGCGTTGTTTTTTCTTTTTTGGAGGGGGGTGTCAGGAGGGCAAGAATCATATTTTCATCAGCCTGTTTATGGGTGACTTTGCATTTGACTTTGTATTTTCATCTCAACTTTCATTTGAACTGTGGGATGGACTTCAAGAAGAAGAGGCTTGGGCCCAATCAGCCTGAGACTTGAACATTAGCCACTGATAACATGAATGCTACTATTGTCAATCCCTGAAAAGTACTGAACAGAGTGGTGCCTATGAGCTGTGTGTGCTTGCATGGTAGAAACACTGAAGTTGCTTGTATACACAAAATAAAACTGAGTCTGTTTTGACAGCAAGAAGGCCTGATCTATGTATCTGCCCCAAGTCAGACCTGAGTTTTGTCTTTTTTACCAACAGTATCCAATTAATAGACATAAGCCGGACTTTTGGGCAGGAAGTTTGAACTGGTCTTGCAGCATATAGATGGCTATGGGGGGAGCTTATTGGTGGCACTTTATGGAGAGGTTATTCAGCACTGTAATAGCTGTTGGAGTAGCTGGAAATCCAAGAGGCCTAGAGACTAACCAGTGCAGTTGTGTGCATCACTCCTCCTAACTTCCCTTTTTATCTCCCTTCTTTTCCCCTTCTCCCCCTCCACAGAACAATTCGAGTATGGCTGAAGAGGGACAGTGGGCAGTACTGGCCCAGCATCTACCACACCATGTCATGTAAGTGTCAAGGTATCTCAACATTTGGAAACTTACTCTTGCCAAGCTCAGCCATACATAAGGCTCTAGTTCTATGGAGCTGATGTAACAGCCATTTGCTATTGTTTTTGTTCCTATATGAAGCCCCCTCTCTTCCTTCCCCCATATAGGTTTCAGTAGAAGGGCAAAGAGATGTTTACCCAGGTATTGCAGAGAAAACTGATTTGGAGCCCATTCCAAACAAAATATGTCCTAATAATTACAACTTAACTAATGTAGAAATCTATATGATTAAAGAGACTTTGGCTATGTCCTCCTGAGGATGTTTTGTCTCACTTTAATTCTGTTCCCCCCCCCCCCCCCCC